GGTAGTGAGGTTGGCCCAGGATCGGACATTGTTTCGTTCTGCTGTGCATGGGGTCGCTATGAGTCGGTTCTGACTTGATGGCACCTGACAACAACAACATATAATATATATATTTTTAAGATAGCTATTTTGTTTCATATTTGCAAATAACTTGTAATCAGTTTTACCATTAAAAGAAATTTAAAACAAAACAAAACAAAACCTTTGGTTAAAACTGGTGTTCCCTACTTTGGGCACACAAAGAAACGCAAACTCAACCTCCTTTGCTATTGTATGTGGCCATGTGACTAAGTTCTCTCCTGTACAATGTTTTGAAGAGACATGCCATATTGGATCCTATCAAAGACTTTTAGGAAACAAATGTGTTTCCTCTGTGTTCTATTTATACTCTTCATTACAAAATGATGAGACTGAGGCCCTAAGAAATTGTAGATCCATAAGGTAAACAAGGACTGACTTGAAAATGTCTTGAGTAGCTGACCAGGATTATCCACTTGAGACTTTTATGAAGGCCAAAAATAAATGACAATTATGTTTGAATTAATATGTATTTCTGGGTCTGTTGGTTAACATTGATGTTAAGTGTTGTCCAGTCAGTTCTGACTCATAGTGACCCTGTGTAGGGTTTTTGATGAGAAGCCGGTGAGTTTGAACAGTGAACTTTGCAGTTCAAACCAACCTTGTGGTCCAGTGCTTATGCGATGTGCCATGTTGTTGTTAAGTGCCGTCAAGTCAGTTCTGGCCCATAGCAACCCTGTATAAGGTTTCTGAGGAGCGGCTGGTGACCTTGAACTGCTGACCTTGCAGTTCAAATCAACCGTGCAGTCCAGCACATTAACCCACAGTACCACACCAAAACTCCACAGTGCATAGCCAACCTAATTAATACATTAACTTGAGTAACATTATCATTCACATATTTATTGAAAAACCTGTTGATAAATTCAAGATAAGGTGAAAAATATGGGCAAAAAATGTATGCTTGTTAATATTAGGAAAAGATATTTCTCAGGTTTTTAACAATGCTTCCCTCTACCTATTAGAATTGTGGCAAGCAGTTAGCAACCTGCTGCTAACATAAAGGTTGGCAATTTGAATCCCACAGTTGCTCCATTGAAGAAATGCCTGGCAAACTGCTTGTGGAAATATTACTGCAAAGAAAACCTGTGGAGCAGTTTTACTTTGCTATACATGAGGGTTGCCATGAATTGAGGCAGACTCAACAGCTGCTAATACAAAAAGCAACTCCAAAGTACGATGATTTTATCTTCTTTAATAGATTACATTAATGTTCTTATATGCCAAAATACCAACTCAAATGGTAGGGAGCTTATGGAAGTTAAAGTGTTTGTGAAGCGGAGCAGTGTCTGTGATCCACACAGGCAATAAGGAAGGAAAGAATCGCAGATATTTCATTAAAGGCCACATGAAAATCAACATTAGACAAGAAAGCAGAGCCTAGAGGTAAGTAGAAAATCAGCCAAAGTAATAAAGAGTCAGTAATAGGTTGCTGTTGTTAAGTGCCATTGAGTCTGGTCAAACTCATAGCAATGCTGTATAGGAGTTCTGAGGAACAGTTTGAACTACCAACTTTGTGGTTAGCAATCCAGTGCTTATCCTACAATGCCACATCAGGAGTTTGGATCAAAAGTAATACATTGGAGATACTGAGGCACAAAAGCCAGTTTTTGGGATAGAGTAGGTAAAGTGGTCTAGATCAATGTCTAGACAAAATACTCTTGAGAACCTTGATTTTATGAATAAGCCATGGCATGGGAAAGTTTTCCAAAAACAAAAGTTCAAGTGTAGTAAACACACACCAATAAATGACCAATGTAAACATGTTTGCTTCTGAATGTTCACATTTAAATAAAATTTTAGTAAAAGTCTACACAGCAAATTAGGTTTTCTTATTTGATAATTTCACAAGTTATTCAGTGACATTAGTTATGTTTTTCACAATGCTTAACATTCTCATTACCATAGTTCTATGTAAATATGATGTGTCCAACTTACACGTGTTTGACAATTGTGTCCACCCTCATAAACACTATGCTAATTTTTCAACACATTGTTGTAAAATAATTTGGTTAACATACTTAAGAAAATACCTGGAAGGAGGGAGGGAGTAGTTGGCAAACAAATGCAGAAGGCATGCATTGTTGTTGTTAGGTACCAATGATTTGGTTCCAACTCATAGTGACCCTATGCCCAGCAGACAAAACACTTCGTGGACCTGTGACATTGCCACAATAGTTTTTATGTTTGAAACCTGTGGTACTTTTAATTTACTTAATATGGCTTTCTAGCCAATGACTTCTTTATCCCCACCAAATGATTGGGTTGTTGTTTTAAGCGCCTTCTAGTTGGTTCTGACTCATAGCAACCTTGTGTGTTGAGTTTCTGAGGAGCAGATGGTGGGTTTGAACCATCAACCTTTCAGCTATCAGCCCAAGTCTTATTCAAGAGAATCAAACCAGGACTCCTGTGGTACCTAGTACAGTACTCCAGTGCTAAGATTGGCTAGCTTTGCCAATTTGCTAGTTTTAAAAGGAACCATGTCAGAAGCAGGAACAGATGATCCCAGGACCATCATCAGAGCATGTGATCTCTACCTAGAAAACTGTGGCATTACAGGTGGTGGCATTGGTAGAAGCATGAAGAGACAGAGCAACTGCAGGCTTCTA